GCGGGGATGGGGGAGGGAGGGTAGGGATAGGCGCGGTCGTCGGTGTAGAAGATGACGTCGGGCGTCACGGGCCCGCCGGAGACTGTCACCCACGGTTCGGAGCCGGGCTCATCATCCTCATCATCCTCATCATCCTCATCGTCCGCCGTCGCCGCCGTCGCCGCCACCTCCGCATCCTCTTCGGGGGCAAACTCCGGCGGGGCAGCCCGCACGGACAACACGGCATATCCGGTGATCATCTGCGGGGCGCTCATCGCGTTGTACCGCACCTTGAAGGCGCCGGCGCGCTTCGGCCGCAGCAGCACCGAGTAGCGCTCGCCGTTGCTCAGCGGGATCGCGTGCACGCGCTGCGGCACCACGTACCCGCCGTCCACCGCGTACACCCACATCTCGTGCTCGTCCACCGAGAAGGCGCCGGTCACGAAGTTGGTCGACCCGAGCACGTTCAAGGCCACCCAGCGGCCGGCCGTCGCGCGGACCGTCTCCACCGGGCTGTGGTCGTCGTCGCGGCAGCCGTGGAAGATGGGCGGCGGGATGGCGCTCTCGTTGAAGTGCGTCATGTCGCCCCCAAACGCGGCCATGACCTTTGGCGGGAAGCACGGGGTGGTTACCCTCGGTCGGTTAGGGAGGAGCCGGGGATGAGCGCGAGGTCCGCCTTTTGCACGGGTGTCAGGTTGGCGCTCATGAGCTCGGCGGGGAGGCACCGCGCGCGGCCCTTGCCGTTGAACACCAACTTCTCGTAGCAGGGGATCTCGATGCCCGATGCGAGCGTGACGGCCCACTTCTCCTCGGAGGTGACGCGCAGGAGGTCGAAGACGGCGAGGGTGCGGGCGGTGTGGGCGGCGCGCTCCATGGCGCGGGACGCGGCGGCGGCCGGGTCGATGAGGTGGAAGGGGTGGGGGGTGCCGGGGCGCGGGCGGATGAAGACGGCGCCGTACAGGCCGTCCTCGATCTGGTCGCGCGCGTGGGAGTGGTACCAGTAGCTGCCGTGCTGGGTGGCGGCGAAGCGGTAGGTGAAGGAGCGGCCGGGACGGATGTGGCGCTGGGTGACGCCGGGGACGCCGTCGGACCAAGGGGTGCCGTGCATCTCCAGGCCTGGATTTGTCTGTCAGTTTGTTCTGCTTCGCGTTGCGTGTGAAGAAGCTCTCTCTGTGGGCGAGCACCCCCGACGCACCGTGAAAGTGTAGAGTAGTGTTGAAGGGCGAGTTGTTGACGACGCGGACGGTGACGGCGTCGTCCTGGTCGAAGCGGAGCTCCGGGCCGGGCGTCTGGCCGTTGACGAGCAGCACCTTGCGCGGGACGCCGAGGGGCGCGTACTCGGCCCAGGTGATTTCGAGGTCGAACTCGGCCGTCTTGGGCGCGGACGGCAGGGACGGCGATGCGGAGGCGTCGAGGTGGTGAGGCACGACCGAGGCCGCCGCGAGAGAGGCGGCGGCCAGGAGGAGCCATGATGTCGTCTTCTTCCACATGATTTGGTGACGCGGGCGCGAGGTCGGAGCTGGGAAAAGGGCGGGAGGGAGAGGCCAATTAGTAGCTGCAGGATGTGGTGGTAGACGCCGGCCTGACCAGGCTGAACATCTCTTTCACAGCCTTGACCACCAGCCCGTCTTTGGTTTCCGTGTTGTGGGAGTACAGAGGAGTTCTTGTCGCGCGCTCAAGCCGAAGCCGAATGCTGCGGTGAATCCCAAAGTTTACGGCTGGAATGCTTTGGCACGAGGATTGCGCCAATTCACCCGCCTTTCCCTTGTCCATCTTCCTCCCCCCCCTTTCATCCCCCCCCCCCCCTCCCCCG